AGGAAGCCATACTATGAACACATGGCCTGCCGCTTCTCGCTTGATTGAGCACAATTGAAAGGTAAGTTTTAGACTAGACTGTGAAAGCGCGTCCCGACCAAATCCATGAAACAAGGCAAACAAAGCTTGGACAACTTCTTGTGCATGGGCTGCCTATCAACATTCTTCCTGCTGGGCTGCCTTGCCTAGTCTGCAGCGGAGACTTGACTGCCTTTGGCCGTCTTCCTGGCGGGCTTTGACTGCTGGCCTTACCTGGCCAGTCTTGGGCTGATTCTTTCCTCTGGCCTTACCTGGCGAGTGTTGGGCAGAGATCCACCCAAGGCTGCAGAGCAGGCAGCGACGGCCATGAAGGTCTCGAAGGTTATGAAGAAGCCCTCCCAGGCCATGTATTCGACGGCAGCCAGTGCGAAGGCTGATAAAGACAAGAACAACAAAGAGAAGAAGAATGATGATGACAAGAAGAATTTTGATGACAAGAATAAAGACGATGACAAGGCCATCGTCGCGAAGTTGGAGGAGCAGGTGGCTAGCCTCCAGCAGCGAATGTCGAATGCTGAAAGCAGTGTGAAACTGCTACATGGTGTCACTTTTTCAATGGCTCGACGAATCAGCCGTGGGCTCCCGATGAGTGAATCCAGCGACAATGACGAGAAGAACGTCATTGTCGGCAAAGATGAAGACAATGACGTCCACGACCATGCAGAACCTAGTAGCATATGGAACGTGCTGGAAAAGGGGCAATGTTTTTGAGAAAGATGAAGACGGCTCAGGCCAGCCGGCTCCAAGAACACCTGAGTGGCCATCCCGGCACACGTGAGTAGATGTAGAACTGCAGCAGCAACAGACAGCAACATCCACACACAGACACAGCACACAACACACAGCAACACAGCACACAGCACGCAGCATAATACCGCACCGCGGCACACAGCAGCCTGCACCGCAGCACACAGCACACGAGGGGTGATGTTGTTTTCACGGTCGGGCTGAGTGCGCTATTAAGGATTCATATAGGGCGACATTACTTTATATTCTTTTTTGTGAGTTCTGAATACATAGCCTGGGCATAGGCCGGGTTATAGACTAGTATTTCCGAATACTGACTAGATTCGGGGGGTGCATGCTCGGCCCAACTGAGTTTTTGGAAGATGTGCCGGTGAGTTTTGGAAAAAAGTGCGGGGTGATCGGGGTTTTAGCTTCCGGGTTTTTTGCCTACTTCCTTCCCGCTTCCCGGTAGTCAGGGTACATTAGGGTTTATAGTGGGGTTTAAGGACCCGTTTTTGTATGGTTTTTTCAGGGAGAGCAACCTTTTCTTTCTCGTGAGCTTAGTCTGAAATCAGCAGTCTGAAATCAGCCGTCTGAAATCAGCTTCGTCTGAAATCAGCTTCGTCTGAAATCAGCAGTCTGAAATCAGCATAGCCATGATGCCTGCCACTCCTGAGTGGCCAGCCTGTGCGTTCTCGTCCTGGTACAAGGAAAACAAGAGTGTCTAGCCTCGGAGAATTTGAGGTGTTTTTTTTCGTGTGTCTTGATTGATTTGATTTCAATGAGATGGCAGCGTTTGGGGCTTACAGATTTCGTTCTTTCCCTGCTGCCTTCATTGTTGAGATGGCTGTTGTGGCTGTGGTGTCAGCGTCGTATCCGAACATTGAGGCGGGATCCAGGTATTTCAGCTTTCATGCGTCCTGTGGTTGAAATGATTTGCAGGCTGTGCCCATGACTGCCAGATTGTTGATTGGCAACGAGAAGGCAGTTCGGAGTCGAGGTCCCAGTTTTACTTCTTTGGACATGAAGGTGATGTGACCGAAACGTGGATGTCATCTGTGTCTATAGACCCTCTGAGGTGGCAATGAGTTTGCATACAGGAAGCCTGAAGGTGGCCTGCCTCTGTTGGTCTGTGACACGAGGACTGTCTCAGGCCTGGGAAGAGCCATGTTAAGTCACATGTGCAGTGTTTCAAGCATGTAGTTTTCGTTGTTTATTTGATAGGAGAAGATGGAAAAGTAATGGTTTTGGCACCCACAGCGGTTGCGACCTCGGTGGGTGTGTCAGCTGAGACCTTGAATGTGTATTGAATGAAGCCGTGAGCTTCACTTTAGCAATTGATCAGTTGTAGTTCTTTTCAACCTTTCCTGAGGACGGTCATTGGTTCTGCTGGGAGGGCACTTGGAATGAGGACCACACCGACGTGACAAGAGAGAGGGTGTGTTTCCGTTGCACAGACTCAAATGTGCTGAATGGAGGGTATCACAGCTGGCAGATTAATAACGCCGACGAGGGCCAGCCTCCAGTTTGGTCGGAGTGGCCGATGGTTTGCAGATCTCACTGGCAATAAGTGACAGACAATAAGTTAGTGTGACAATAAGTTTTCATTGGGATTTTTAGAACTGACTGTCGGGAGTTTTGTTTCGTATATGTTTTGCACATCAGCAGTCTGAAATCAGCAGTCTGAAATCAGCTTTGTCTGAAATCAGCAGTCTGAAATCAGCAGTCTGAGAGTTGCCGTGTTTGAGATCTGCTGCTGGCAGTGCGGGGCACCTGTTCGTCATGAAGGAAACAAGGTTGTTTCATTGTTAGTTTGTTTTGGGTTGCAGGTCTGTAGTCGGAGATTGTTTTGTTCTTATTTGTCTACTTGGATATCATGCAGGTGACTCGTTTGTATCTTCCCGGATTGATCCTAGCCTGCGTGTTTCGCGAGAGGTGACCAGGAAAATGCAGACAGGGAGACTTGACTCTTGGTTTCAGTTCTCTGTGAACCTCTGATGTGGTTGGTCAGGGTGCGTGACTCCATTGGCTCCAGCATCCAGCTCAATGGGACTGAATTCCAAAGCAAGTCTGAAATCAGCAGTCTGAAATCAGCAGTCTGAAATCAGCATAGCCATGATGCCTGCCACTCCTGAGTGGCCAGCCTGTGCGTTCTCGTCCTGGTACAAGGAAAACAAGAGTGTCTAGCCTCGGAGAATTTGAGGTGTTTTTTTCGTGTGTCTTGATTTGATTTCAATGAGATGGCAGCGTTTGGGGCTTACAGATTTCGTTCTTTCCCTGCTGCCTTCATTGTTGAGATGGCTGTTGTGGCTGTGGTGTCAGCGTCGTATCCGAACATTGAGGCGGGATCCAGGTATTTCAGCTTTCATGCGTCCTGTGGTTGAAATGATTTGCAGGCTGTGCCCATGACTGCCAGATTGTTGATTGGCAACGAGAAGGCAGTTCGGAGTCGAGGTCCCAGTTTTACTTCTTTGGACATGAAGGTGATGTGACCGAAACGTGGATGTCATCTGTGTCTATAGACCCTCTGAGGTGGCAATGAGTTTGCATACAGGAAGCCTGAAGGTGGCCTGCCTCTGTTGGTCTGTGACACGAGGACTGTCTCAGGCCTGGGAAGAGCCATGTTAAGTCACATGTGCAGTGTTTCAAGCATGTAGTTTTCGTTGTTTATTTGATAGGAGAAGATGGAAAAGTAATGGTTTTGGCACCCACAGCGGTTGCGACCTCGGTGGGTGTGTCAGCTGAGACCTTGAATGTGTATTGAATGAAGCCGTGAGCTTCACTTTAGCAATTGATCAGTTGTAGTTCTTTTCAACCTTTCCTGAGGACGGTCATTGGTTCTGCTGGGAGGGCACTTGGAATGAGGACCACACCGACGTGACAAGAGAGAGGGTGTGTTTCCGTTGCACAGACTCAAATGTGCTGAATGGAGGGTATCACAGCTGGCAGATTAATAACGCCGACGAGGGCCAGCCTCCAGTTTGGTCGGAGTGGCCGATGGTTTGCAGATCTCACTGGCAATAAGTGACAGACAATAAGTTAGTGTGACAATAAGTTTTCATTGGGATTTTTAGAACTGACTGTCGGGAGTTTTGTTTCGTATATGTTTTGCACATCAGCAGTCTGAAATCAGCAGTCTGAAATCAGCTTTGTCTGAAATCAGCAGTCTGAAATCAGCAGTCTGAGAGTTGCCGTGTTTGAGATCTGCTGCTGGCAGTGCGGGGCACCTGTTCGTCATGAAGGAAACAAGGTTGTTTCATTGTTAGTTTGTTTTGGGTTGCAGGTCTGTAGTCGGAGATTGTTTTGTTCTTATTTGTCTACTTGGATATCATGCAGGTGACTCGTTTGTATCTTCCCGGATTGATCCTAGCCTGCGTGTTTCGCGAGAGGTGACCAGGAAAATGCAGACAGGGAGACTTGACTCTTGGTTTCAGTTCTCTGTGAACCTCTGATGTGGTTGGTCAGGGTGCGTGACTCCATCGGCTCCAGCATCCAGCTCAATGGGACTGAATTCCAAAGCAAGTCATGTTTGCTTGTCACATGTTTGTTTCTTTCAATATGAGTTTCACGTCTCAAATCCGCGTTATGGGAAATGAACTTGTCAGAGATCAACCTTTTGTTGCAGGTCAGCTTGTTGACTTTCAAGTCTGAAATCAGCATTATGGGAACTCAACTTGTCAGAGAGCAACCTTTTCTTTCTCGTCAGCTTAGTCTGAAATCAGCAGTCTGAAATCAGCTTCGTCTGAAATCAGCAGTCTGAAATCAGCATAGCCATGATGCCTGCCACTCCTAAGTGGCCAGCCTGTGCGTTCTCCCGCGAGGATGCGGAGAGGTTTTGCGAGATGCTGGCCGCAGCGCACGGTCCAGCCTATGTGGACGACACATTGAACGATGTTTTGCAGAAACTTTTTCTGAAGGCCTTGAAGGATTATGAAATGGATGAGAACACAAGCAACGGTGGCATGCAGTCATCTCTCTGGCAGATTCGGGATTGTCAGAGTTTGGAAATGCTGCCATCGCTTTGTCAAAGTATCCATGATATGAAGATCGCGAAGGAGTATGAAGTCAATAAAAGCAATCCGGCAAAGGCAGTCGAGATTAGTGGAAAACAAAAGGCAGGAAATTACTATCTCTCTACCACTGTCAATGGTCGTGGTTGCAATTGTGCCGTCAAGTTTGGAGGTGAAAAATGGAGGGAAACCCAGGACAGCAGTGTGCGTCCTTGCGAAGCGACCATGGAAGGATTGGCAATGCAGAGATGGGTCGTGGATAAGTTGCTCAAGAAGGAGTCCTGGTACAAGGAAAACAAGAGTGTCTAGCCTCTGAGAATTCGAGGTGATCTTTTTTTCTTATGCTTTTGTTTACTCTGAGATGAGGTTCTTCTGAGATTGGTTATTCTGAGATTGGCAGTCTGAGATGAGCAGTCTGAAATCAGCTTTGTCTGAAATCAGCAGTCTCACGCCGTTTTTTCTTTGTCTGTTTAGTTGGTTGTAATGTCTCTTTGTTTCCAGGTTTCAACATCTTCATGAACCGGTACTCTTATGCCACCGACCATGCCATTTCAATGCACACCGATGCGTCCAAATATTATGATGAGATTGATCCGATCACATCGCTTTCAATGGTCCTGGGATCATTTCTTTTGATCCAAGCGAAGCAGGCTAAAAAACGAGGCAACAAGCCGAGGTGGTGTTTGGTTGTTTACCAGCCGCCTTGCTCCATGCTGATCATGGCTGGGAAGTTTCAATCGCAGTTCGAGCATGCAGTGCCTGCTTGGTTGGACATGAAGGAGATTGCCCATGCGGAACAAAATGCTGAGTTTCAATTGACACGCGGTGGGCAGCAAGAGAATCTCAGACTCCTGTTTGTTGGGCAGGCGAAACAACAGATGAAGGATGAAATTGAGAGACTGGAGAGTCTCAATTTGAACGAGACTCACAGGTGGAATGTGACGGTGAGGTGGATAAGACGCCATAACGAGGACTGTCCATGTCGTGGGAAAAAAGTTGAACTAGTCGGACCTGAGATGCTGAAACCACCTGGAAAGGCAAGGACGCATGAGGGATCTGCGGGGTCGAGTGCCAAGTTACCTTGGGATGCCAAGGCAGCAGCACACCAGAGACAAGAGTTTAATAAAGGCAGGCCAGGAAGTGATGTGCGGAAAGAAAATGATGGTGAGAGGCCAAGTTTATTTGCAGAGCCAGCTTTGGTTGCCACGCTGGAAATGGCGATTGACATGATCACTGTGGAACCATGGCCGCTTTTTTCTGCTTCCTTCTGTGGAGACTCCGGTGTGAGGAGACTGGTCCTAGTTCGGCAGAGATGTTATTTTGTTTTGTTTCCATTCTGACAGCAGACCACTGTAACCTGAGGCCAACCTTTATTGTTTTAATGGCTTAGGGTACTGTGAAAATATGCCAGTGTTTTGTTATTCGATTGAATCCATCGGTAAGGCAAGCAAGATATAACGGCATTGGGGAGCAGATCGCAAGTTTGCTTGAAATTGATGCTTCTCTCAAGGAAATGGTTGAGAAGAACAAAATGTATCCTCAGCAGAGTTTAAGCGTGCAGCGGAAGATCGTGGAGAAGTTGCGCAAGTTGAGGAGACAGGCTTTGCTTTTGGACTTGCTTTGGTTGTCGACAGAGGGACCTAGTTTTGTCGCTGCGATCGACCAAGTGGCTGTCGAAGTTCCAGGCAAAGATCCAAAGCATTTGACAGTGGTTCAGATGTCTTTTCGTATGTTCAAGGTACTCCTGGATGAGCACCCCATTGATGAAGACTGCCTCCAAGAACATGGTCTCGTGTGCTTGGACTTTTCTGGTCTGCGTGACGATGTTTTGAGCCAAAGCGCGAAAGATAAAAAATGGGATTGGATGACTTTGCAGGGAAAATATTGCATCGAGTCATTCACAGCCTATGTGTTTGATGATTCTGCACCGTCGGATAGCATCAGTATCAGGACCAAACTGACTTTTCTGCAACAGCCTTTGCGTGATGTGGTCCGGATGGCTGAGTCTGGGTCAGGGCCAGAAGAGTCCCTGACAAGTGCTATGCGGTTGGAGAAGTGGTTCGATCTTTATTTGGATCAGATCTGGACACATGAAAGCTCCCAACGGGCTATGTCACCAGACGGTCGGTTGATTTTGTGGATGATACCTCTGCAAACGAGACTCACCTACCTCGGCTCTAAAAGAGCGAAAACAACATGACTGCACCGAAAATCTGCCATTCTGAGATCAGCAGTCTGAAATCAGCAGTCTGAAATCAGCAGTCTGAAATCAGCTTCGTCTGAAATCAGCAGTCTGAAATCAGCAGTCTGAAATCAGCAGTCTGCATTTCTGTCATTGCAGTGGAGCAAAGCTGAGTACGAAGTTTGCTCAGCACATGCTTCAATGGATGGCCACCTGTTCTTCTTCTTTTTATTATTTTCATCATCTTTATTGTTAGTACTATTCATTAAGGTGCCTGCATCATAGAGCCATCAAGTATCGTTGATGCCGAAGCCTCACTTCTTCGGCACGGTGTGGCTGTGATTGCCGTCCCGGATGCACGGCACGCTTGCGAGTGAGGGCAAAAGAGGGATCTGATTGGCACTGTCTGCCAATCCCGTAGGCTCCATGCATGCAAGGCTTTTACCATGCACACTGGCCAGAGGCAGGCTGTTTTTCTTGCAGTTAGTCTGGAGCTGGCATTTCGAGTTGTGCTGCACAGAGTGCCGGCAGCCGCAGGCATCAAGCTCCGTTCCAAGTCATGTTGCAAGGGCAAGCTGTAATGCATGATCGAGAATGCAGGCAGACTCGCAGTGCTTTGCAGAATCAGCCTTATAGAAAGGTTTTAGCGATGGAGGGCCAAGACAATGCACTCGTCTCCAAGAGATTCTGCCGTGGCTTGGCGGCCAGTGTTTTCGTCATGTGCAATCTGGAGCTGGAGGATGTGCGAGCCCTTGCTCGGAAGGGCTTGGTCGATTTGGCACACTGCATTGGGCACATGCAGGAGCTGACCGTATGGCAGGAGGTTGCGGAGTTCTTGTCTTTTTGGGCTGGGGTCTTGTCAGTGGCAGTGCCGGCTTTCTCGAACGTAGATGATTCGGGTAGCTTTGCATGGCCTGCTAAGTTTCCTCCGGTGGGCAAGTTTTTCGTGGCACCTCATGAGAATCTTCCGGTTCCAAAACTTTTGGAAAAGTTCACGATCGAAGAAGAGGGAGACATGTTCAACGGCCTTGTTGCTTCCATCGACTTGGTGCAGCAGCTTCTTGTTCACGTCCCCGAGGAGCTGAGCGACTAGACCCATATAAAGTGCATGCACGCATCTGTGTGTGTGTGTGTCTGTCTGTCTGTCGCATGCTTGCATCTGTTTTTCTTCTTCAATCCCAGCAGCTAAACACTGCAGGCTTTCGTGTGGAGAGGCTTGCCGTGCACATGACGGATATTCTTTCTGTGGTTCACATGCATATTCAGATGCGGAAGCTGCAACTTCTTTCGTGGCTTGCCGATATTATAGCAATCCTGGGCTCACATGTGTTTCAAACATCGAATGAGTTAGACTCCTGCACTCAGGCCGGCGGAGAGAAAGAAGTTCACGGATGTGATGGACAATTTAATGATGGACGAGCAGACGAATTTTGCTTCAAACTGCTTTATTCATGTTGCCGCTTTTTGTGCTATCCATCCACACATTTGTGGGTGTACTGGCTGGCTGCTATGTACTTAGGAAGTGATTGGTTCATGGATGTGTGCTCGGAGCTGCATGCCGTGCCTTGGCGACTTTGCTTGTCCGCCTGAGTCTTTGTCGTGCATTCACAAGCAGAGCTTTGCTCTAGCGAGGTTGGGTATATCCGTTGGCCATGCTGCTCTTGAAATCCTTTGGCTACGCTGCTTCTTGGCAACTCTATTGAACCGGCTGCTTGCATGATATTTTTGTCCTAGGTTCGCCTCCTGGGCAATTTTGGCTACCGACGATATGGTTTTCCTTATTGGACAATTTTGGCTACCGGCGATATGGATTATTGGCTTTCGGGTGCAGACCGGCCTCTGTATCTTTGCTGAAAACCGTGCGGAGCACTGCGATCACAGCATTCGATCGACTTCGATAGTCATGTTCAGGGCTTCGGGTTCACACTGCGATAGCCTGAAATCAGCAGTCTGAAATCAGCTTCGTCTGAAATCAGCAGTCTGAAATCAGCAGTCTGAAATCAGCAGTCTGAAATCAGCAGTCTGCATTTCTGTCATTGCAGTGGAGCAAAGCTGACTACGAAGTCTGTTCAGCACATGGTTCAATGAATGGCCACCTGTTCTTCTTCTTTTTATTATTTTCATCATCATTATTGTTAGTACTATTCATTAAGGTGCCTGCATCATAGAGCCATCAAGTATCGTTGATGCCGAAGCCTCACTTCTCCGGCACGGTGTGGCTGTGATTGCCGTCCCGGATGCACGGCACGCTTGCGAGTGAGGGCAAAAAAGGAATCTGATTGGCACTGTCTGCCAATCCCGTAGGCTCCATGCCTGCAAGGCTTTTACCATGCACAGTGGCCAGAGGCAGGCTGTTTTTCCTGCAGTTAGTTCTGTTTTCGCAATGGCAATGGCAGCACATTGGAAGCCCAGTCCAGCATCTTGACTCTGGTGCTGAGGAGACGGTGGCGGCTGAGAGTGCGGCAGCAGAGCCTGTGGCGGCGTCTCGACTCAACCCCAGGCCTTTGCTAAGTAGGAGAAAACCCTTTACTCAGGATCCTGTGGCTTCCAGTGCTGCACTGCCCTATGATTTGAGTTGAGGGTTTGAAATTCACGTAGACCTATGTACGGCATGCACCTTGCTTGGCATCCAGGTGCCGCATCCTGATTCCAAGCACAAATCCTATGGGAAATTACAATTCGCACCCTTGTTTTTCTGGGATTCCAAACACAAATCCTATGGGAAATGACAATTCGCACCCTTGTTTTTCTTGGATTCCAAGCCCACAAATCCTATGGGAAATGACAACTCGCACGTCGTTTGGAAATACATATCCTATGGGAAATTACAATTCGCACCCTTGTTTTTCTGGGATTCCAAACACAAATCCTATGGGAAATTACAATTCGCACCTGTGTTTTTCTTGGATTCCAAGCCCACAAATCCTATGGGAAATGACAACTCGCATGTCGTTTGGAAATACATATCCTATGGGAAATTACAATTCGCACCCTTCTTTTTCTGGGATTCCGAACACAAATCCTATGGGAAATTACAATTCGCACCTGTGTTTTTCTTGGATTCCAAGCCCACAAATCCTATGGGAAATGACAACTCGCACGTCGTTTGGAAATACATATCCTATGGGAAATTACAATTGGCACCCTTGTTTTTCTTGCATTCCAAGCACAATCCAAGCCCACAAATCCTATGGGAAATGACAACTCGCACGTCGTTTGGAAATACATCCTATGGGAAATTACAATTCGCACCCTTGTTTTTCTTGCATTCCAAGCACAAATCCTATGGGAAATGACAACTCGCACCCTTGTTTTTCTTGGATTCCAAGCCCACAAATCCTATGGGAAATGACAACTCGCACGTCGTTTGGAAATACATATCCTATGGGAAATTACAATTCGCACCCGTGTTTTTCTTGGATTCCAAGCATTCGCAGCCTTATTTTTCTTGGATTCCAAGCACAAATCCTATGGGAAATTACAATTCGCACCTTGTTCGGAAATACATATCCTATAGGAAATTACAATTCGCATCCTTGTTTTTATTGGATTCCAAGCACAAATCCTATGGGAAATTACATTTCGCACCCTGTTTGGAAATACATATCCTATGGGAAATTACAATTCGCACCCTTGTTTTTCTTGGATTCCAAGCCCACAAATCCTATGGGAAATGACAACTCGCACGTCGTTGGGAAATACATATCCTATGGGAAATTACAATTCGCACCCTTGTTTTTCTTGGATTCCAATCCCACAAATCCTATGGGAAATGACAACTCGCACGTGGTTTGGAAATACATATCCTATGGGAAATTACAATTCGCACCTGTGTTTTTATTGGATTCCAAGCCCACAAATCCTATGGGAAATGACAACTCGCTCGTCGTTCGGAAATACATATCCTATGGGAAATGACAACTCGCACCCTTGTTTTTCTTGGATTCCAAACCCACAAATCCTATGGGAAATGACAACTCGCACGTCGTTTGGAAATACATATCCTATGGGAAATTACAATTCGCACCCGTGTTTTTCTTGGATTCCAAGCCCACAAATCCTATGGGAAATGACACCTCGCACGTCGTTGGGAAATACATATCCTATGGGAAATTACAATTCGCACCCTTGTTTTTCTTGGATTCCAAGCACAAATCCTATGGGAAATTATAATTCGCACCTGTGTTTTTCTTGGATTCCAAGCCCACAAATCCTATGGGAAATGACAACTCGCACGTTGTTTGGAAATACATATCCTATGGGAAATAACAATTCGCACCCGTGTTTTTCTTGGATTCCAAGCCCACAAATCCTATGGGAAATGACAACTCGCACGTGGTTTGGAAATACATATCCTATGGGAAATTACAATTCGCACCCTTGTTTTTCTTGGATTCCAAGCACAAATCCTATGGGAAATTACAATTCGCACCTGTGTTTTTCTTGGATTCCAAGCCCACAAATCCTATGGGAAATGACAACTCGCACGTTGTTTGGAAATACATATCCTATGGGAAATTACCATTCGCACCCTTGTTTTTCTTGGATTCCAAGCCCACAAATCCTATGAGAAATGACAACTCGCACGTCGTTGGGAAATACATATCCTATGGGAAATTACAATTCGCACCCTTGTTTTTCTTGGATTCCAAGCACAAATCCTATGGGAAATTATAATTCGCACCTGTGTTTTTCTTGGATTCCAAGCCCACAAATCCTATGGGAAATGACAACTCGCACGTCGTTTGAAATACATATCCTATGGGAAATTACAATTCGCACCCGTGTTTTTCTTGGATTCCAAGC